GAAGAAGGAGTGGGACTCATTCCTCAACAGCTGTCACTCATGCTAGGTTAAATGGAACCTCCATGTTTGGAGGTAGTCTACCTCAGAATACCCAATGTTGGGGGACAAGCAAGGAAAGGCTATTCCTTCCAGGTCTGGCTTGTGGGCTTCCAACTGGGACATCCGTGGAAGGAGAATCGTGGCCTAGATCGGCAGAGGACTCTTCAAATATTTTATCTTCCCACGGTGGTCTCACCCTGAGTTGCTGAAGGGTTTGGGCCTGCTTTTCCCCCCCAATGGTGGGCCATTTAACATTTTCTTATGGGGGGCAGGCGGAGGGCAACCTGCACCCTTAAACCTGTACGGTTCTGCAGAAGCCTTCTCCCATTTACTCCCGAGGAGACGAGAGGAAGCAAGTTTTCCTCTTTTGCTTTATACAGCCGGGCTGCAGGAAACGCCCCCATTCCCCCTGGTGCAAAGTTGCCCGTTTCGTGCCCGCGTAATAAAATTCTTCCATGCGGTGCGTCCAGAGCGTCGCAAAGAACTACGTTCACCTACCGGGGCCAGCTCCTCTGGGTCGTCCTCTGGCAGCAGTTCCTGAGGACCACAGAGAAGACCCCAAGTCAAGCCACTGAACTACACAAACAATGCTCCCCGACATCTCACTACTTCCAAGAACGAAGAGTTCAGTTTGGAAGTGAAGCCCAGGCGCCGTTCCATGCAAGGGTTGGCAGAAGAACCAGGATCAAACGAAACACACCAAGATAAGAAGTTGCTACTATCCCAAAAAACCAAGTTTTTTGGGGGGGGTATCATCTAGAGCAGTGTTTGCCAACCTTGGCAACTTTAAGATGTGTGGACAACTCCCACTTTTGCAAATATCTTTTCTAGACCAGGGTTTCTCAACCTCAGCCGCTTTAAGAGGCGTGGACTTCAACTCCCAGAATTCCCCAGCCAGCATGGGAAGAATTTAACCCACCATTCCAACCGGATACCGATCAATCAGGGCTAAAAGCCTTTGCACCTGAAGAGGAGGGGGGAACTTTTCCCTGTGAAAAGTTCAGAACCGCAGAGCTGAAATGCACTCCGAGGGGCTCAACGTGAGAGGGGGTTGCTAAGGAAACATAGCAAACAGATGTCCCAATTTCCCAGCTGTTTGTGCACGAAAAAAAATGATAAAAAGTCAAACTGCTGA